ACTCGAACTTGCACATCACACTCAAACCTAGCCCCTGAGCCTTCTGCACCTTCACCGCTCTAGCTGCGGTTTCAAGCATAGTTTCGGCGGTGGACCTGAGCGGTGCTTGTAGCGTGGCATATTAAAGTACAGCAGCGACTTGGCCGCGGTTCGGCTGTTCAGTTTATTCTTCGTACAAGTCAATAATTTCTCACCTTGACCCGCCATGAACTGCTAAGAACGTGATGAAATTAACATCATTGATGAACCGAATGCTGCTGCACGGCGCTCATGCGCGTCGCGCCGTGCGGGTGATACTCGGCACAGCCCCGTGAACACGCTGAGCGCATTCCAGGCCTTGCGACGAGCGGATTTACGGCGCACAAGCGATGCGCGTCGTGAACATGATGCTCGGCGGATCCCTTAATTTGCGCCAAGCGGATTCACTGCGCACAAGCGATGCGCGCCGTGAGCATGATGCTCGGCGCATCCTAGGGCTTGCGGCGAGTGGATTCACGGCGCACAAGCGATGCGCGCCGTGAACATGATGCTCAACGCATCCCAGGGCTTGCGCCGAGCGGATTCACGGCGCACAAGCGATGCGCACCGTGAACATGATGCTCGGCGCATCGCATGGCTTGCGCCGAGCGGATTCACGGCGCACAAGCGATGCGCGCCGTGAGCATGATGCTCGGCGCATCCTAGGGCTTGCGGCGAGCGGATTCACAGCGCACAAGCGATGCGCGCCGTGAACATGATGCTCGGCGCATCACATGGCTTGCGCCGAGCGGATTCACGATGCACAAGCGATGCGCGCCGTGAGCATGATGCTCGGCGCATCGCATGGCTTGCGCCGAGCGGATTCACGGCTCACAAGCGATGCGCGCCGTGAGCATGATGCTCGGCGCATCCCAGGGCTTGCGCCGAACGGATTCACGACGCACAAACGATGCGCACCGTGAACATGATGCTTGGCGCATCGCATGGCTTGCGCCGAGCGGATTCACGGCGCACAAGCAATGCGCGCCGTGAGCATGATGCTCGGCGCATCGCATGGCTTGCACTGAGCGGATTCACGGCGCACAAGCGATGCGCGCCGTGAGCATAATGCTCGGCGCATCCCAGGGCTTGCGCCGAGCGGGTTCACGGCGCACAAGCGATGCGGGCCGTGAGCATGATGCTCGGCACATCGCATGGCTTGCGCCGAGGGGATTCACTGTCGTCATTCTCTCTCTCTCTCTCTCTCTCTCTCTCTCTCTCTCTCTCTCTCTCTCTCTCTCTCTCTCTCTCTCTCTCTCTCTCTCTCTCTCTCTCTCTCTCTCTCTATCCGTCCTTCTTTCCACCTCCGCTCCCCCTCATTCACGCCGTGCATGCGTTAAAGCACCGATTGTCCGTGCATCCCCTAATTTAAGCCGTCATTCTCCCGTCATTCTCTCTCCCTGCCGTGACTCATTCTCCCGTCATTCTCTCTCCCTGCCGTGACTCATTCTCCCGTCATTCTCTCTCCCTGTCGTTACTCTCTCTCCCGTCACTCTCTCTCCCTGCCGTGACTCTCTCTCCCGTCATTCTCTCTCCCTGCCGTTACTCTCTCTCCCGTCATTCTCTCTCCCTGCCGTTACTCTCTCTCCCGTCATTCTCTCTCCCCGTTACTGTTTCCCTCTTTCTCTGCCGTCATTCGCCCTCCCTGCCATACCTTCCATCTCCCTGCCCCTGATTCCTTCTCTCTATGTCGTCATTCGCCCTCCCTGTCATTCCTTCCATCTCTCTGCCCCTGTTTCCTTCTCTCTCTGTCGTCATTCGCCCTCCCTGCCGTACCTTCCATCTCCCTGCCCTTGTTTCCTTCTCTCTCTGCCGCCATTCCCTCTCCCTGCCATTCCTTACATCTCTCTGCCTCTCTGTCGCCATTCCCTCTCCCTGCCATTCCGTCCCACTTTTCTTTGTGTGAACAATACAGGGCAATGGTGTACAGTTGTCCTGATTGTCCTGCCACGGGCTTCACAACAAGAGGGAACGTAACCAACCATTGGAATGGCGGGCGCTGCCCCGGGAATACGCATCATGCAGCTGCTGTAAACAGTGGCAACCCATTCCTTATGACGCGGCACAATGCCGCCTCTATGCCATCACCCACCCTCTCTATCCCCTCTCCCACCCCCTCCATTCCCTATCCCACTCTCTCCATGCCCACTCCTCCACGTGCCGCAGTAGATCCGGAGCCTCTACGAGGCAATGAGGGATCGACCCATGATAACATGGTGCCCGACTCATTCCACCCAGCCCCTTCTCCCTCAAACAGTGTTGTGTCAACACCGGATGTGTTGCCCGATGATGCCACCTCTGTCCATACAAATGGAGAGGCCGAGGGCAGCACAAACGATGGTGATGAGAGTCAGTCGTTTGTTTATTTGGATGCATTTGTGCATTGCTTGCTCACTTGTGGCGTTTCCAAGAAGAAGGTTGATGAGTTGCTACAGATTTTTAACCACCACGATGCGTGTCTCGAGCAATTGCGCGAGCTCCGAAACATGAGGGACGTCGAGAAGTATGCCGACGAGCACGTTCCCGATGCGCATCGGATTTGGAAAAAGGCGAAGGTGCGTCTCGCGGGAAAGCCCATGATAGAGTTTTTTTTTTGTGATGGCGTTCAATGCATCAAAGATCTCTTGTGTGAGTACACATTGGTGGCATGCTCTCCATGAGGAGATAAGAAAAGAGGACCCCAACGGGGTGGTGTGTGCACTCATCTTAGCAAGTGATGAAACGTATTTGGACCATCGGGGAAAAGCTAAGGGCCATCCGGTATATCTTACATTGGCCAACATCGATAAAGATGATCGATGGAAACCTTTTGGTCATGTTTTACTCGCTCTATTGCCCGAATATCCATGGTGTTCCTATTGTGGAAGAGTCTGGCGCCTCTTACAATGCTTGGCCCGCCCTCTATGCATATGTTGCCAACTACCCCGAGACATGCAAGGTGTCGTGCACCAAGCAAGGGAGGAACACAAGCCATCCTTGTTCCATTTGCATTGTGTATAAGGACAACTTGACGGATTTGATCGATCAACCAAAACCACGTTTGCTGGTCATGCAAAAGAGTATCGTTGCACTCTTGCAACGACATATGTTATCTTCGGGGGAGAACATGGAGCTCTCAACACACCCAGTGAAATGTTTCCTCTGGGGGTGGCGTTTTGAGTCTCATGCGGTTCTAAACCCGTATCTATGTCTTATGCCTGACATTATGCACCAAGCTGATTTGGGCATCCTAGAGTACGTAATGGATGCCATTCGAGCTCAATGCACGGAAACACAAAGGGAGGCGTTGGATAAGCATTTGAAATTATACAAGTCTATCAACCGGAACCCGCATTTGCGACTCCCATCGGGTTCATACTTTAGCAATGGTGCGTCATACCAGGCATACAAGCATCGGAGCGTCATGCATATTCTTCCTTTCATAGTGAAGGGATATGCAACTGATGAGCAGATTCCAGGAATCATCACGTACATAGAGTGGTACACCTACTGTGCGCGTGCCTCCAAGCATACCGCGGAGATTTTTTCGAGCGAGTTGAAGCTGTTGGCGAGCAGGTATGTTAAACCGTTGCAACGTTAGTCAACATATCCACACTGCATCTGGCGTTTAATCGACCAATTCCGCTCTTTTTTTTGCATTGTACAGGATGCTTCGAGGCCTCGAGGCGTTTGCACAAAAATCGAAGTGGAACATTATCAAGGTGCATCTGGTCAACCACTACATCGACGCTATCCGTCGGGCAGGACTTCCGGAGCATTGGTGTGCTCAACTATTTGAGCATCTTCACATAGAGTATGTGAAGAACCCCTATTGAGCGTCGAACAAACGCAACGCCACTGCTCAAGTTATGAACGCTGAGGTCAACAAGCTGCGGTTGCAAGCGCTTGCACCGCAGCTTGGTAAGCGGAAGCGGTACGACACAGCAATGCTTCGGGAAAGTCCCTTGCTTGAATACTTGAATAATTTCCTCTTTCAGAATATTTTTCACCACTTATGTTTCCCTAACTTTACTTTATTTCATTTTAATACCTATTGCAGGCCATCTCCACTGGAACACGGATAGTCTCGCGATCCAGCTGGAAGCTGATGGTCCTGCCGAGGCGTCCCACTCCGCCCTTTGTGGAACCTGTGGCGCCAGATGCAGCGTGCGACGCCGCCTTCAACACGCAGCTGGGTGGCGACCTGCAGCAGCTGCGACGTGCCCTCGATGTTGCACCTGGATGCAACGGGAACAGTGTCCACGTCATCTAGGTGAGTGAAGCGAGCGAGTCTGTCACCTGGTATCGTGCAAGTTGGATTTTTTTTTTGTTTGTTTATGTTTCGGTTCTATACTACCTTTTTTCGAAGCCAGTATCTGCACAGAGGTTAACCATCGCCTAAAATTAGAGGCGATTTCGACGCGTCTACAGTAATGAACAACAAACCCCAAGGTACCAAAATGAGAATTATAAAAATCTACAACATAATCTATTTTAATTTTATTTACCTACTTCTTCACTTGCAGGTCCACAACGAGCTTGCCATGCCCTCTGCGCTGGATGCTGAGTTTGGACGGCTGCCTCACCGGGTGCGTGTTGTCGCCAACTTCTATGGACGGCCATTGTATTCCAACATTGCTGTCAAAGGCCCGTTGGTCGATGGTGTTCACGAAAAGTGCCCACACTTGTGCGAGGTTTTCAGTGCCCCTGCCCATGAGGTTCTTTCCGAGAGCTCGTCGAAATAGTGCTGCACACGTTAATTGTGTAGTGCAGACTGTTTCATGTGAATTGTAAGAAAGTCTTGACTGCCCGCTTAATGCACAAGATTTTTTTGGCAGCTCCGGCTCGGCTCTCGCACACATTTCACGGTAGTCGCACGAAACCGTTCTGGCCGTACATACAGCACAGCAAACAGTCGCGCATCGCCATACGACCATTCTCCCGCCATAAACAATCGGAAACCAAGCCTGTGAGACAGAGCTCATCCTCGCACACTGAGACACATGACCGGATTCAAGCTCCTCAAGCGGGTTTTCGTTGACATGACGGACGACGATGACCAGGGGGTCACACTGCATTGTGATGGGCCTGGTGAGGAAAGTGACAGCGATGATGATGTGAACCTGGATGAGGTGCTCGGGTAAATGCAGCAGCTGAAACAGCAAGGGGTGAATCTCGGCAAGAAGAAGAAGAAGAAGAAGCTGGCTCGTATGCAAGATCTCTTGGCGCAGGGCGATGACACTGCTGGGCCTTCTAGCTCACCTTCTAATGACGGCGCTCCTGCTGCCGCGGCGGAACCTACGCCTGCTACTATGACCGCCGTAGCACCTACCGCCGTAATTGATCCCACCGCCCCAACCGTTGCCGCGCCTATCACAGCAAGTGCCGGTACTGCTGCCGTAGCAACGACTGCCGTTTCCACACCTGCTGGACCCGCGAGTACGGAACCTACGCCTGCCATTACCAACCCTGTGGCCGCCTCGGCTCCAACCGTTGCTCTCGCAGTGGACGAGGCTACCGCAAATGCTAACGATTCCGCCGTTACCGCCTCAGCCGCTGATAACGCTACACGTGGAACGACTACCGGCCGAGTGATTGCCTCACCGTTGGAGTTTGCCATCCCAGTTAACCACCGCAGCAGTAAGAGTTACTCTGTTTCCATGTTGTATTGATCTCGACCCTTACGGCTTGGATGCTGTTTGCGTCTGCCGTTATGTATTTTGTTACTGAGATTTTTCACCTGCTTGTATTTGTCAGGGTTTAGGGTTTAGGGTTTAGGGTTTAGGGTTGGCATCCTCTGTATTTATTGGGTATCTCCTTCTAACATCCTCTCATTTCCTCTATTTTCCGTCCCGTTAATATGCAGAGAAAGGCAACCGAGGCAATCACGTATCTCATGTTGGATGTGCCAGCTCGGTCCATGCAGTTCTACCCCAAGTGGGCAGAGTTGCACGAGGTCATCTACATGAAGTACGAGGCCGCGGGCATTTCATCTGACGTTTTCTACTACGTCATTAGCAACTACCCGAACAAAGAGGCGCTGGCGATGCGGAAGGTGTCGGAGAGGCGTTCGAATGTCAACGCAGACACCAAGCTCTATGGCAGAGGTCCTGGTGGGTGCGTTCCGGAGAGCAAGTGGGAAATTCTCGCGGAGGAGAATGTGGTGCCGTCCATCTCGCGTACCCCTGCGGAGTGGTGCCATTTCTATGAACATCGTGAGTTACACATCGCCCCGTTTTTACTCTGAGTTTTGGTTTCTCACGCAAACTCTAAGTTAATAGCTGTTTCCTTTCCCTCTTACCTTCTGTTCTTGCAGCTGTGTATGGGCCTGGGGCTAACTGGCATTTCTGTGCGATAAGCAACCGCCCGTTTGCCAACCTGTCTTTCCAGCTGACTCTCCTTCTTGGGCTTGCCAGCAAGCGTGCAACCATGCTGCACGTGAAGATCCCGACTGTTGGCTATGTGTGCAACGTGGTGAGTGTCTGTTGAATGTGCTTGTATTGGTTTGTCTTTTAACGACAATTTAAGTTAACGTCGTATGCTTGTTGCAACTGCAGGTGGAGTGGCCCCTGGTGAACGCAAGGGGGCACCAAAACCCGTCTCTTGACACTGCAGAGGCAGTGAACCGCCAGAATGTGGCGCACAAGATCGACCAGGTGGTTGCCTGGATTGCGGCAACGTACAATGCCGGTGATGTGGCTATTTGGGACTCCAGGCCCCCTGCTGGCTTCAACATGGGCCCCAGGATCAAGATCCTGGTTGAGGGCTATGAAAGGGAGATTTTCCCTAATGGAACCCCACCTTAGAAGTAATGGTGAGGTGTAGCTGGTGCTACAGTAGTTTGATTTAATTGGTAGGTGTAGGTGCTGCTAACTGGAATTGTAGTTGTGTAATTGATGCTGTTAGTCTGAAGTATTGGATCTATTTCTGAGTACGCAATAACGGGTTTCTGAGAAATATTATTAAAATGATGGTTGAATTGCTTTTCTTGTGCGGACGATATGTAAAAAAACATTATATACACTACAATAAACAACATTAATTATCAATTTTATTGGCAGATCGGTATTGTGACACTTAATTAAAGTAAAAGGGGTTGTAACCCGGTTGGTTACAGTGCATTGTAACTTCAATTTAATCGCTCGATAAGCAATCGCGAGTTACAGTAACAGAGCAACACATCGAAATGTAACCGCGCGCACTATGCCAAATCAGCCGCGTAAATATTCGCGCCAGGTCAGCAACGAGCTGGATAACAAATGGGCATCCGCAGGATACTCTGTATATCGATCACACACAACCGCACATTGTACCCCCCGTATGTGGCAAAGCACCTCGATCCTTCGATGACTGGGCATTACCAGCCCTTACTGTTCCAACTGAATCCACACATACAAAACCCATCGACGGAGTGGTCGATCGTGGGTGGCAATCGGCCTAACCCATCACACGTATATGGTCTGTTCGAAAATTCGCCAAAACCCAACCCCAACAACCTGAACCCTTCTAAAACACACGAAACCAGGTGACACAGCTTTCTGATGCATTGGCCGGGGGTGCCACATAAACATACGCCCGCTGGTGCCGCGCAGTGCGGGTGTCAACGCAGCGGTAGTGCACTTTTGTCGGCAAATGGGAAAGCAAGAACGTGCTCTGGTGGCCGCAGACGTTGTCGCCTTTATGCTCTGAACGGCTCATTCGACTGCCAACGGCGGCTGCGAACTGAAGGACCCGTTGACGATTTTCGCTTGAGGGTGTTGTACAAAGGGGCCATGGGGGTGCCATGATGTGCCGACGCGGAACATACGCCGCGTGCCAATATCACCGTATGGGTGCTCGTTTGTCCGCGAGTAAAGAACGGGCTCTGGTGCCCGTGACGCAGAACAGCAACGTCGCATTCTACACAAGTGAGTTTCTCGCGGGCAACAAAGAACAAAAAAAGCGAGAGTCAACGCAAAGGGGCGCCGAGCAACGGCACGTTTCATGCAAGCGAGGTTTCCGGCGGGCAACAACTACAATAACAGCGGGAGTCGGCCCAAAGGGGTGCCGTGCCGACGTACCGTAAACCCCCGGATATAAGAACCCCCCCCCAGTTGTAGACCCCCGGGTCTATAATACCGGGGGGGGGGGGGGGGGGGGGGGGGGGTATGCTATTCGAGTCTATTCGAGTTATACCCCCCTAAGTGGCACCTAACTTTATAAGACCCCCCCCCAGAAAACTACTCATTGTCAGCAAAAAAAGTGGAATTTTGTCATTTTGCATGTTCATCAAGAGACATCAGAACCATGTACGCACATGCACAAGCACCTAATCCTCATCCTGTCCAGCAACCCACGTCTCCACCTCCTCCCCGTCATATCGCCCTTCTGCCCACCACTCTTCGCCATCATCCTCCCATCCCCCTCCAGCCCCCACCTCCTCCGCGACCACATCGCCATCCTCCTCACCCTCCTTCTCCTCATCCTCCTCGTCGTCCTCCTCGTACTCTTCCTCCTCCTCCTCCGAGTCCTCCTCCTCTTCCTCCTCCTCCTCCTCCTCCTCCTCCTCCTCCTCCTCCTCCTCCTCCTCCTCTCCAGCTTCCGCCACTAGCTCTGCATCACTGTCCCTGCTCGCAGAGGCAGCAGGATCGGGGTAGAAAGGGTTGGGAACGAGCTCCTCCAGCTCCTCCTCGCACACATCCTCCAGCACCTCCACCTCCGCCTTATCCCGGAGGTGAGCAAGGATCAAATGATCCTCGCTCCCGTCGACGGCGGTGGAGATGCCGCAGGTGATGAAAGCTTTTTTCACCAGCTCTTCAAGGACGTCGGCCCAGGCCTCCTCAATCCAACAGAGAACCTTTTCCGGAGGGGGGTTTTTTTCAAATTCCCTGCGGGAAAGGTCACGGAAAGGGCAGTCGTGAGTAAACCATGGGCAAGGAAATCATTAAAACGGGTTCAAGAGATGTGCTCACCTGCAGGGGTATAAGACTCAATCCCCTCATCCTGGAACCACGTGAAATAGCGGCGGCGAACCCCGGCTTTGAAGCTGCGGTTGACCGAAACGTCCAGCGGTTGCACCAGCGACGTGCAACCGCCAGGGATCACCGCACGCGTGAGCTTGAACAGCTTCATCGTCCGTCCGACCGCTTCCGTGGTGTGCCCTCGGTAGGAGTCGAGGATGAGGAGCGCATCCTTGCGCTGCCTTTCCTCTTCGCGGAGCGGCTTCAGGCGAGAACTTGCGTTGTCCAGTCTTGGACAAGTTTCTCATCCATCCAGCCCTTTTCCTGGGCTCGCACGACAATTCTTGCAAAACAAACAAATGACGTTAGCGGTGGAATTCTTTCGACGGACCACATCAGAGCATCAACCAGGGCACACTTCACCTCGGGGTATGGGGATCTTCGGCAATGTTTTGCGCTTGAAGAACACCCACGTACGGAGGGAGCTTCAAGCCGCCCGCCGTCACTGTCAGCATGACGGTGACGCGCTGCTTCTCGTACCCCGCGGTGCGCACGTGCACGGTACGAGCGCCTTTCATCTCGAGGGTGCGCTCGGCAGGCATCTCAAGGAACAGGGGTGTTTGATCCGCGTTCACGATCAGGTCGAGGGGGTAGTTGTTGAGCACCCGCATCTGCCTCACGAACTTCCAGAAGGACTCGCACCTCTTCTTGCAATCTGCGTTGCATAGGTTAGGGGTGAGTCAGAACTGGAAGCTACGGTACGACGGTACATCTGTGCACAGGATAACGGGAATGATTGAGATTTCTTGCCTGCAGCAAGTTTCTGCCCGATCTTCGTCTTCACGAGCTGCGCCAGAGACCACCGCCTGCGGAACCTCTTTGTCCAACGGTGGGACGAATGCCACTTCTCCTGGGGATGGCGATGCTTCATGTAGGTAGTCGCCCAGCTCTGCAGGAGGCTCACGGAAACCGGAATTCCTCTCCCACGGTGCGAAAGGTACCTGCGATAGACCGCAACCTCCATCTCCGGCCACTTAAACTTTCGTCCCGCACCACTACGGCGTTGGCGACAACCTGCCGCGACTTCGAGGCGCTCCCTGAACTTGCGCCACTCGCGGATCTGCTTCGACTGGACTTTGGCGAGCCTGGCCAAAGCCCGGACGCCCAAATCGGGCTGCGCGTCTAGCATCTTCAGCCAGTACATTTTCTCCTTAACGGTGTATGCTTTCCGTGCTTTCTTCGTCATTCGGCGCCTCGGCGATTGTGTCTCTGCGTCATACACCCGCTTCTTCTGACCCCGCGGTCTGCTTGATTCTGGAAAGACAGGAACCTTCACTTGCGGAAGCGGACGGCGTGGGCTCCCGCTGCGCTCCTTATCTGCCGACTTGCTGGTAGAGGGACTTGGCGTTGGCAGGACGGGCCTAGGCGACGGCCTAGGAACAGGAGGTTCACAGACTTTCCTGACGGCGCCGGCGTCGAGGGGCCGACGTCCTAGCATTTGGGGATGTCACCATGGCGGCTAAAGGGGGTGTCACACGCTGCTAGCTTCGAGGAGGCCTCAAAATGCAACCGATTGCCATCTTTGAACGCCAGTCAGCCGAGCAAGGGAAGGGGAGAAGAAACTGGAGGGAGAAATGAGTGACAACCTACACAAACAAGGACGTGCCAGCAACTGGGTGTAGAGGACGCCCTAACCAGGACCGTGCAGCTCGCACGAAGCGTGCATGGGGTGTGAAGGCCGAGGCGACACTTTGCGCTGGGCCCATCACACGGTGCATTTCTCGCTGATGTGGCCACCAATCAGGTTTTGTGGCCAATGGGAGTAGGCTCCCAGCTAGAAATCGTTTTGACGTGGGTTGGATCCTCGTGGAGACACTTTCGCGTATTTTTTTGGGGTGCTATAAACGAAGCACTTCCCATTCACTTGGTTGCGCTCAAAAATACGTGTCTTACAAAAGACATTTTGTAAAGACCCGGGTCTTATAATTTATGTGCCATTTAATTAGACCCCCCTACTTTTTTGGGTGAGATTATGATAAGACCCCCGGGTCTTATATCCAGGGGGTTTACGGTAGAACAAGAGGCGCGCCTGATAACCTACAAGGGCTACAACACAAGATACATTATTGTCTTGCAACTACTGTACCATATGTACAACAAACTCCGCCGCCGTCAAACTTGAAAGATAAACCCAAGGTGGAGAGAGGGGTGCAGTACACCCCGAATCAAGGAAGGGCAGGCGATTCTGCAGGCCGATTAAGAAGGCAGGTTGATGCCTGCATTAACGAGAGCAAGCAGCAGCGGGTTGCGATGTGTGGGGTAGCTTCGGATGCAATGGGGGTCTACCCCGGGTCGAGGAGAGGCAGGCGGTACTGCAGGCTAATAGGCGAGGCGGCGTATTGGAAGATCATGAGCAGACACGCCTCGTTGGGTGCCACGCCTGCTTGTAACACATGCAAGGGAGGGAGAGGTGGGGATGGTACAGGGCAGGTATTTGAGGGCGTATTGGAAGATCATGAGCAGACACGCCTCGTTGGGTGCCACGCCTGCATGCATGCATGGAAGGTGGGGATGGTTGGGGTGATGGGGTTATGGCACATGACAGGCGGTTGATGGCATCAAGGGAGAAGCATGGAGCAGGCATGCCTCGTTGGGTGCCACCCCTGCTCGCCTCATTGCGTGGTGGTGACAAGAGCACGCAGCAGGAGGGTAAGTATCAGAAGGAATGGCCTTGTGTCGGTGAGGGCAGCTGTGTGAGCATAAGCAGCACAGCAAAAAAGAGTTCACACTTGGAGTAACCAGATGTGAGGAGGGGAATGTGAGAAGGCAAGAGAGAGCTGCAGGTTTTTCGACAAGAAAGACCACACACCGGGGCAACAAAAGGGGAGGAAAAAATAAAAGTGAATAGAGGAAGTGGAAACAGTTGAAGGGAGTAGGAGGCGCCTGGGCAGGTAAGGTAGCACAAGAGAATAAGAGGAAAATAACAAGCGGAAACAAAGAAGAGAATAAGGCAAGCAGAAACAGAGTGAGTAGCACGGACCACAATAGGAGGCGTCGGGGCGGGTGAGGTAGCACTGCAGACTGCGTGCGAGGTGCTTCACACTCACTGACTGCTTGCGGGGGTGTAGATGCGTGAGAGGGATGGGGGAGGGGTGAGGTGGGTGAGGTGGAATGGGAGAGGAATGGCAGGTGGGTGAGGTGGCATTGCAGACGGCAGGAATTTGATTCACACTCACTGCAGGCGACAAGCAAGTGGCAGGGGACAGAGGTGAAAAGATGGCAAGTTGGAGACGTCGTGGCATCTTTTCACACTCACACGATGGCAAGTTGGAGAAGGTATCTAATGTGTGACATCGTGGGACCATAGGACATTCCACAGGCAAATGCAAGGACATCACCTGTAGCTTGCATCTGCCTCACCACGACTGTAGCATCGCCTGTAGCTTGCATCTGTCTGAGCCGTGTGGACAGCCCCGATATGTCTGCATCGTCATCTGCGCCCCCCCCTTGCCTGCTGCCCTCCCCCACTCCCGCTCCACTCTGCTGGCTCTCTGCTCCGCAGAAAACGTGTGGCCACGGGTGAAGAGGGGTGGAGAAAGGTGGAGTGGGATGAAGATCAGTGAAGCAGGGGAAAGAGAGCAAAGGGCATCAATGAAAGAGACGGAAGGAGGAAAGAAAGGAAGCATAGTGACAATCGAGTGGGCAGAGCCTGGCGGGCAGAGGTGGAAAGAATCGTTCCATCTGCATGGAAACCTCAAATGCCACTGCGCTACACCTGAGTTGGCGCCAAAGACTCTGAGGTTCTTGAACTGGGCGGCAACCGTGATGGAGGGCGTGTGGGTGCGCATGGCGAGCGCACCGCTCCTCATCGTTGCCACGTCAGCCACATCGCCCACACTCTGCAGACGCTCCACTAAGTGCCGCAAGGACGGCAGATCAGGCAGCTGCACGAGGGTCTGGAAGAAGGGTTGGGGGAGCAAGGGGAGGGGTCGGTTTTACTTGCCTCGTCCCCCACACTCTACAGTCGCTCCATCAGCAGCTGCAGGGGTCAGGCAGCAGCACCAGGGTCTGACTAGGAGGAGGGAAGGGGGGGGAGAGGAGAAAGGCGGGGGTAGGGAGAGGAGAAAGGCGAGGGAAGGGAGAGGAGAAAGGCGGGGGAGACGAGGTTGATGGGGAAACAAGGGTCAACCAGAGTCAACATGCGCCTCATCTCAGGCATCGAGTGAACTAGGTCGATGCCAGCCTGCAGTCAATAGAAGTCAACGCAAGTCAACTCAGGCCTCACCAGAGTCAACTCAAGCCTGGGCAGCGAATGCACGAGGTCGATGCCACATGAGGCAAAGATTGTACAAGGTCAATGCCCCAGGAGTCGACAGGTCAACCAGAGTCAACGCAGGCCTCACCTCAGGCAGAGAGTGCACGAGGTCAATGCCAGCCTGCTGTCAACAGGAGTCAACGCAAGTCAACTCAGGACTCACCAGAGTCAACACGCGCCTCACCTCAGGCAGCGAGTGCCTCACCACAGTCAACGCAAGTCTCACCTCAGGCAGAGAGTGCACGGGGTCGATGCCAGCCTGTAGCTCGTTGAGCTGCGAGTCAACAGGAGTCAACGCAAGTCAACTCAACATACTCCTCCTCACCTCAGGCAACGAGTGCCTCACCTCAGGCAGCGAGTGCACGAGGTCGATGCCAGCCTGCAGCTCGTTGAGCTGGGAGCGAGGCAGCGGTGTCGAGATGGGGATGTCCTGCACGATGCTTGACCGCTCGCCCTGGGGAGGGGTGGACAAGAAGGGCGCCCTTCACATGGGCGAGCAGGAGTCAGCATGCGATGACCAGAAGGTCAGAAGATGAGCAGCGCGAAGTGGGATGCGATGCGATGGGATGGGATGGGGTGCGATGGGATGGGATGCGATGCGATGGGATGGGATGGGATGGGATGGGATGCGATGGGATGGGATGGGATGGGATGGGATGGGATGGGATGGGATGCGATGCGATGGGATGGGATGGGATGGGATGCGATGGGATGCGATGGGATGGGATGGGATGGGATGGGATGGGATGGGATGGGATGGGATGGGATGGGATGGGATGGGATGGGATGGGATGGGATGGGATGGGATGGGACCCCACTCACCTTGGCGCCCTGGGGAGGGGTGGACAAGAAGGGACTCCTGGACGCACATTCACCTTGGCTCCAGAGACAGGAAGGGCAGCACGGGCACGGAGGGGTTGGCGCTCTTCTTGAGGGGCTTGAGCTGGTAGTGCGTGGCTTGGCAAACACCGTGGTGGCACGAGACCGACACGCACCTTGCCATCCACCGTGGCACCCACCTTGGCCTCCAGGGAGAGGAAGGGCAGCGCAGGAGCAGTGGGGTTGGTGCTCTTCTTGACGAGCTTCAGCTGGTGGCGCGTGGCGGCGGTGGCGAGGGAGGAGCGCAGGGCGCGGGCGAGCAGCGAGAGGTCGAGCGAGAAGGCGATGCGATCGGCACTGGCGCTGCTGATGAGATGCTCCGAGAAGAGCTCAGCCTGAGGGGTAGGGGGAGGGGGGATGGGTTACGGGGGAAAGAAGAACAAGGGGTCATATGTGAGCAAGAAATCACATGCCTCCAAAACAGCCCCCCTTGGATGGGACGGGACGGTGGACGGGAGGAGGAGAGAATGTGTGTGAGGAGGAGAGAAGGGAATGCAAGGAAGGGAAAGAGGAACGTAGGAGGGCGCGGGATAGCAGCGAGAGGTTGAGAGAGAAGGCGATGGGATCCGCACAGCCACTGCTGATGAGGTGCTCTAAGAATAGCTCGGGGGGGGGGGGGGGGGGGGGAAGGAAGAGCGAGAGGGGGAGCACAGATGGACGACAGGACGGGTAAATTGAGCCTGTAAAACGCTGCTGATGAGGTGCTCTGAGAACAGCCCGCCCTGGGGGGTGAAAAGCGGGAAGGAGGACAGGAGGGCAGGGTCTTAGCCTTTGAATCACGCACGCCCATCTTACAGTGGGGAACTGTGCGATGGCCTGCACGCCTTACAGTGGGGAACTGTGCGATGGCCTGCACGCCTTACAGTGGGGAACTGTGCGATGGCCTGCACGCCTTACAGTGGGGAACTGTGCGATGGCCTGCACGCCTTACAGTGGGGAACTGTGCGATGGCCTGCACGCCTTACAGTGGGGAACTGTGCGATGGCCTGCACGCCTTACAGTGGGGAACTGTGCGATGGCCTGCACGCCTTACAGTGGGGAACTGTGCGATGGCCTGCACGCCTTACAGTGGGGAACTGTGCGATGGCCTGCATGCCATCAGCGGAGAGCACGTTGTGCAGGAGGAAGACGTCTGAAGGAGTGAGGTACACGTGACACACCCGCCCTATGCGCTCAAAGGCCGGCAGGAACCCTGCACGAGGGGCGTGGGTAGGGGGGGGGTGGGAGGCGGGGGGGGGGTAAGGGTGGAATGGGTGGTGGTTGGGTTGACGCCATGAAAGTGTGTGTATGCGTGGTGGGTTACAAGTGCCAGCAATGATGAGGCGTGAGGTGACACGTGGCACACCCGGCGTATGCTCAAATGATGGCAGGAACCCTGCAAGAGGGTCGTGGGGATGGGGGGGATGGCATGGGGTGGACCGTGGAGCTGCAGGATGATATCATACACACGCATTGGCTCCCTGTTGCTGCCAGGGCGTGAGGTGATAAAAGAAGTGTTTTGAGACGTCTCAAAACACTTCTTTTATCGCAAAAACGGTCGGCGCTGAATGTTGCACTGCTTCGTGGTGAACAGAGAGAAGAGAATCACGGAACATGTGACCCAAGAGATCGAGGCCGAGATACCTAGCGCATCCAGGGTTGAAAGCACAGGAGGAGCAAAACGCACACGAGAGATTGAAATGGGAAAAGGATCGTCAAGCGAGCAGACAGGGAAGGGAGGAGGAAGGTGACGTCCGAGGGGGCCTTACGTTGCTCGAGGAGCGTCACTCCGTCCGTCGTGAGAATCGCCTTGAACCTCATGCTGCATGCTCTGCTGTGTGCTCTGTAAGCTGGTGTATGCTCTGTTGTCTGCTGTATCCTCTGACCTATGAGCTAACGCCTCAAAAACCGTAAGAAGATCTTTATTCTGCTCGCTGAATTATCTTCAGTCCCTTTTCCAACCGGCTGCTGGAGAATTCGTTCTTCCCAGCGGTGCGACACTCCGACACTGGCCTCCGACACGGTGCTTCGGAAGCCCGCTTGTTACGGTAAAATTCTTATAAGCGACTTTGCGATTTGTACAACGATCTTCACCTGACGTTTTGGCATCCACGTATTAATTTTTGCTGCACAACGACAAGGCTGAGGTGTGAGCGACGCCTTTGGTTAGCCTAATGACATGACACGCTCTGGCAGCGCGATCATCGATGTTGTGACATGACGAGGCGATGCTGTGACAGGTGATGGTCTTTGAAGTAGGGTTATAGACAGGTGATGTACATTATGAAAAGCTGATATGCGGTTGAAAGCGGTGAAGGATGAATACTCTCTTGTTTTAGAAACTTGAGCCGGTGTTTTGTGGCAGCGTGCCCGTGACGCCAGATGGTAAAAGCAAACTACGAGATTGGGCCTCGAATTTGGTTTCCGCCAATGTGCACTGTACTTGTGGGAATCGTGGAAGTTTGCAGACCCCAAACGCGAATCCCGAAAGATCCAACGGCTCCCTCATCAAAAGCGGGACTGATCAAGGGAAGGAGCCGAGGGTCATCGCGAAATTCCAATAACGTTCGCGAGTTCCATCGACACTCGTTGAACCACGTAACGTGGTCGCACAACGTTTTCCCGCCATTTATTTGACTCTCTCGTCCCAGAGCATAAGCAGCCTTGGAGCAGCCGATTATTGCTACAGTACCGGAACATGGAGCAACCCTCCTAGAAACAAACGAGCAATTCTGCCAAAGCTGAAACCCTAAGCTGCTGTTCTACCAAACCTCCATATGCTCAAAACGCAGCGACGTTCTACGCACTTTCCTAGGTACTGACGAAGCTTCCTGAAATTCCTGACCACTACGTTACGACTCCCGCAAGCGCGCTTCGGCCGCAGCCCGCTTTTCGTGTTACTTTTAATCGGCTGAAATACTTAATCAAGCCATTTCCAAGTAAAAGCAAGGTGCGCTGATATGAACGTTGCAAGTAAACACTTCTACGCGCTCAGAAGAATGGCTGTCAGTTTTAAGTGGGTCGTGGATCGCAATGTTTCTCAGCGTGTGGAGCTTTATGACGAGTATCCATGTCAGCTTTGACTGCCATCACGTCACGTGTCGCCGTTTAGCTTGCGATGCCTGCATCTGAAGTATCGCAACGCAGATACGCAACCTTCGCAATGAATTATTTTTTGCGGCTGACGCTTGAATTCAAGTAATGCAGATAAGCAGCCTACGCAAGCTTCCGTAACATTGCTCTGGTTCATTCCCTCTTCTCCCCCTTCCCGTTTTCCTCGTTACAGCATGACTCGCTCGCTTCTCTTACAGCGCCTACAGGCGGTCGCCGACCAGCAGCCTCCGAGCCAGCCGCCCAGCAGACCGCCTGACCTGCCGGCGGAAGCCGCGCATACGGCGGAGGCTGCCCGCCGTGCTGGCGGCCCCGCGGCAGCAACGGCGCAACGAAGGGAAGCAGCCGCAGCCAGAAGGACTGCTGGGGGAGCGGGTGAAAGGGAAGGGCGAGCGGAGGAGCAGCGCGGTGGCATGCGGTTGGAATCGGTTTTGTCCACCAACCCCCTAGTCGCCCGGCCTGCCCGGCCAGAGCCCGCCCTTCCCCCCTACGCTTTCCCCTCGCCCACCCCCCACTCTTCCGCCCTTGGTCTCCCCGTGCCCCCCTTGCACGGGACCACAGGCACAGGCAGGGGAACAGGCGTGGGCACAGGTACGGGCACAGGTGCGGGCACATGCACAGGCACAGGCGCGGGCACGTCCACAGGCACGGGAACAGGCGCGAGCACAGGTACGGGCAGAGGCGCAGGCATGGGAACAGCCACGGGGTTGGGCGTGCGGTTGGAGCAGGTGTGGAGAGGTGCTAGCAGTCACGGGAGCGGCAAGGGCAGGCGGCGGGCGGTGTGGTGGAGTGACGAGCAGACAATCGCTCTGCTGAAGATCATGCGCGGCGTGCTGCGTGCTCAGGGCAGCACCCTCCCCGGCAAGATCGAGGACTGGGGGGCGGTGCACCGCGAGTGGTTGAGGCGAGGATTCCCCAGGCACTCGGAGGAGCAGCTGAGGATCCGGTGCAGAGTGGTGCGCGGGTGGGTGAAGGACATACAGGCCCTCCAGGCAATGCTGCCGCCTGAGGTCGAGTGGGACCCCACCACTCAGTACTTTGATCCCGACCCCAAGGTACGTTCGGGGTTTTTGAAACCGACCCTAAGTTCAGTTGTGGTTTGACACTGAACTGACCCCAGGGTGATCTTTACTTTGACCCTGATCCTAAGTTGAACTTCAAATGCCCGTTAACCCGACCACAGGCTGGGTTGTGGGCACTACTGAAATGAGGCGTTTTCTTACATGGAATGGAACGTACAGAATCGAGAGCCCTTTTCTCCTGAGATGCCTACACTGATCCAGTTCATTCAAACTAGCCTCGTGTGGACCTTTATCCTGTATGCGCCGAAGCCCACCCTCCTCTGCTTCCACCTTTCCAAAGCCCCATGCCCTGCGCTGAACCCCACACACCTTCTCTCTCCCTTTCCTTGCTCACTGTTCCTCACCCCATTTCCCCCATCCCCCATCCCCCCACACTCTCCCCTCCCTGCCTCACCGTTTCCCCGCTTTCACCACTCCCCTCTCCCCACTTCTCCTCTTCCCTTTTCAGCTGGGCATTATTCCAAAGCTGAGGCAGCACCCGCTGTCGCGGAACTACCTGCGGTGGTGCAGCCACGTGGCACCCTGGCTGCCCCTCGCCCTGCTCTCCACCCACACCTGCCCTGCTGAGAACGTGCAAGGGGAGGTGCAGTGGGGGGAGGAGGAGGAGGATGAGTGGGAGGATGATTGGGAAGAGGAGGATGAGGAGGGAGATGGAGGGGAACAGGGAGAGGAGGAGGAGGAGGAGGAGGAGGGAGACGATGGGGAAGAGGAGGATGATGAAGTGGTGGAGGTGCGGGTAGGAGAGATGGGGAATGGAGAGGCAGAGGGGGAGGAGATAGGAGGGGTGAGTGGAGGGGGTTGGAGAGGTGGAGAGTGGAACGGTGATGAGTGGTGGGGAACGAGGAGGGGAAATGTGGGGCGCCAGGCTGGGGAAGGGGGAGGTGTGAGGAGCAGAGGAGGGGGAGAGGGTGTGGGGGGGAGAGGGATTGGGAGTGATGGGGTTGGAGCTGCGCAGGGGAATGGCAGGATTGGCCGTCCAGCTGATGCACCGCGGGCCAATGGCGTGCATCGTGCTGAGGTGGCACGAAACAATGTCACTTGTGCTGACGGTGCTCGTGCTGACGTGGCCCATGCTGCTGACATGGCCGGTGCAAGCGCGGATGAGAGGGACGAGTACCCTGCGAGGCTGGCAGCGCGGATCGCTGGGATGGTGGCGAGCAGGAGGGAGCAAGGCGGCACTGAGAGGAGAGGGGTTGACGGCGAGGGGGGAGAGGTTGGGGATGGAGGAGATGGAGGAGGAGGGAATGCAAGTGCATGGCGGGAAATTCGGGTTCAAGAGGGGCAGAATCGAGTGGGGAGGGGTGTGAAGCGGTCGAGGCCGGTGTGGGTGCAGGTGAGGGAGAGGAAGCGGCAGCGGCGGGTGATGGAGAGTGTGGCGCGTGCCCTCACCACGTTCAGGAGCATGGCGGAGAAGGGGCAGCCCCACGTGCACCGAGGTGCGTGGTGGGATGGGATGTGGTGGGGTGGGGTGGGGTGGTGTGGGGTGGAGTGTGAGGAGCTGGGGGTCGGGCCGGGATGCAATGAATGAAATGCGATGCGATCGCTGTGCTTCCCTACGATGCGATACAGTGTGATGTGATGTGAAGGCACACATGTGTATGGATATATAGTAAGGCACACATGTGTATGGATATATAGTAAGGCACACATGTGTATGGATATACAGTAAGGCACACATGTGTATGGATATATAGTAAGGCACACATGTGTATGGATATATAGTAAGGCACACATGTGTATGGATATATAGTAAGGCACACATGTGTATGGATATATAGTAAGGCACACATGTGTATGGATATATAGTAAGGCACACATGTGTATGGATATATAGTAAGGCACAACGGAAGAGAAGTGTGTGCCTTTGTGGATGGTTTGAGGAAAACGTTGAATTTGTACTTGGGTCGAACAATAAAATGGAGGATACAAGAAGATATGGTGGGAGATCTGATGCTAGGAATCACAACCCAAAAGCACAACGCGCATAATGATCAACATGATGATCACGACAACAATGATGATGATAGTTATAGTAACAATAGATATTGCAAGCAATCATAATTATCATAATAGTATCAGTATCAAGAGATTTTTCTATTTCCTCGCGTCACACATGATGTCATCATATACAACAACGCTGCACACTGAGCCTCGACTGTTCTTAGCCCGTTACCAAGTGCAATGCTTGTTGCAATATGCGCCAGCTTTGCCAAATTATGCATCGCTGTACAAGATAGTTTCGACCTATGCTTAAGGTCTAGCCCAAACCCGCTCCTAGCACTGGACAGCCTAGCTCACCTTTCCACATTACTGTTAGTGCTTTTCGCCATTTAGTGTTCGCTCATACGTAAACATGTGCAAACAGACGTCGAGCAAAACTCGGACGAGTAATTTTAGCTGTAATGCATACTCGTTACTCGCCTATTTAGAGGAGTTTCTGTAAAGTCCGGCCGAGCTTTTATAAATGCCCATCCGAGTAGGGTAATGCTCGCTGCCCTATAACTGCAAAACCTGCCCTTCATAATACCCCATGGTAGCCCTGGGCTTTGTAGGGTTGATATTTAAATACCTTACAGTTCCAGAACAATGTCCAGATTGATGCTGTTTATTGCACGGATCAGAATAGGTGACTTTCGTCTGCTAAAACAGTGAAACCTACGTTTCGACTGTCGGGAATAATCCGTCGTGGGTAAATTAGCCAATGAAACATAGTAGTCGACTATTTTTGACATGGAAATGTGCCTGCCCAAGATAGTAGATATTCCTTGAAGATTGGTTGGTTCTGCTAGATCTGAACCGGTGAAATGCGGTCACAAGTGATTTTGCAATAGTAAGTTATGGATCTGCTTCAGTTTTGACGAGACTGACCCATACCTAATTTGAAGCAAAATTCTCGTTAAAATCGCGATGATAGATTTCGTCGCCCATGTAGTCCAACTTTTGGTGTAGAGTGACTCTCTGCAGCGTTGGCCTACACTAAGGGGCTTGAACTTTTCTGCCAGCGATAGCCAGCCCAGATCACCTTCACGCGTTACGGTTGTTGTTTATTGCTATTTATTGTTCGCTCATGCCTTTACTCTCACTGTACTATTTCCTTTATCCATTAGTGCAATTCTTGTTCTCTCGTTCTATTGCACGCATAACTAGTAAAAATAATGAAAATGATACTGACACTGACTATGATTATTATCATTATCATTATCATTTACAAGTTCCTGCTCCTTCTCACCACCTCCATTTCTGCCTCTTCACCTGCAGACGCGGTAGCTGACAGTGTGTTCAAGTCCGTGCAGGACGTGCAAGCCCTCCCCTCCTTAACGGACGCGCAGCGCGTGGCGGCCATCGACGCCTTCCTGCAGCGCCCCCTCGACGCCCACGCCTTCCAGGCCATGAGCCCCGCCCTGCAGACCCTCTTCGCCCGCCGCGCCCACGCCCACGCCGTTGACCGCCAGCTCGCCGGCGTGCAGGCTGCTGCTGCTGCTGGGGGGGGTGCCGGCTTGGTGGACCAGCAGCTTGCTGGGCTGTCGGGTGTGACTGCAGGTGTTGGGGTGGTTGGTGGGGGAGGGGGGACGGGGGGATTGGGTGGGGGTGTGGGGGGAATGGGTGCTGGGGGAGTGGGAATGGGAGAGGCTGGGGTGGGGGCGACAGGGTTGGGGGCAACTGGAGTGAGGGGGACGGGAACAGCGAGGGTTAGAACAGCAGGGGTGGGATCAACGAGGGTGGGTATGGGGGTTTCAACGATGGGCAGGACAGGAACAGGGGGAACAAGGATGGGGGAAACGCGTACGGGGGCAATGGGAATGGCGGGAACGCGGATGGGGGAAACGGGAACGGGGGGAACGCGGATGGGAGAAACAGGTTTCGGTTGGAGGGGATTGGGGATGGTAGGGCAAGCGGGAGCAGTGGGGGGGATGGCAGGAGGTGGGGGTGGGGGTGTGGGAATGGCTGCAGCAGCAGGAGCCGCCTCAGCAGGAGAGGCGAGGGGTGTACAAGGTGTGGGCGGGGGTGGAGGAGGATCAAGAGGGGTGGGTCGAAGAGGAGGGGCAGGAGGAGCAGGTGGATTGGGCGGCACAGGTGGGTTGGGCGGCACAGGTGGGTTGGGCACAGGGGAGGCGGGCAGCATGACAGGGCTGGAGCTGCTGGGGCATCGCGTGCAGGAGTTGGTGCGAGAGAGCCTGGGAGCAGTCAACGCTGGTCAACAGATGGCCAGCACTGGTCAACATGCAGTCAATGCTGGTCAACAGGCAGTCAATGCTGGTCAAGGGGCAGTCAATGCTGGTCAAGGCGGGGTGGTTGACGTTCCAGTGGTGGTCACTGGGATTCAATGCGAGTGCCGTGAGTGTGTGGCTGCTAGAATGCGTCAAGGCACAGTCAACGCGAGTCAAGATGTGGTCAATGTGAGTCAACCAGCGGTCAATGCGGGTCCAGCACTGGTCAACGCGAGTCCACCAGTGGTCAATGCAGATCCAAGTAGGGGAGTTGCAGCGAGTCAGGTGGAGACAGCTGTCTGCCAATCAGGGTTGGGTGCAGGGCGTGGGGGGGCGGCTGCAGTGCTACAGACAAGAAATGCTGGTCAAGCACCAGTCAACGTGGGTCAAGCACCAGTCAACGCTGGTCAAGCACCAGTCAACGCTGGTCAAGCAACAGTGAATGCAGGAGGAGGGGTAGTGGTTGTGGGTCAAGGCAGAGCAGGAAGGGGAGGAGGGGGAGGAGGAGGGGAGAGAGGGGTTTGGAGGGAAGCCGCGATCGTGGGGCTGCCATTGGTGGAGCGGCTGCTGCAGGGCCAGGCGAAGGAAAGAAGCCGTGCTGTGGTGAGGGGACAGGGGGAGACCGGCAGGCAGGGAGAGGAGCAGCAAGGGGAGCAGGGAGGGGGGCAGGGAGGGGGGCAGGGAGGGGATGAGAGGGTGGGGACGGTGAGTGTGGCGGGGGGCAGGGGCAGCGGAGGGGGGGTGTTCACGCTGTCGCACCGCTGTGTGGCGGACGGGCCGGCAGGGCAGTGCAGCCTGTGCAGTATCGTTGCTGACCTCGTCAAAGAGCTGGGGGGAGGCGCTGCTGGGGAAGGGGGTGCTGCTGCGGGAGGCGCCGCTGGGGGAGGCGCTGCTGGGGGAGGCGCTGCTGGGGGAGGCGCTGTTGGGGGAGGCGCTGCTGGGGGAGGCGCTGCTGGGGGAGGGGGAGCTGGGGGAGGGGGTGCTGCTGGGGGAGGGGGTGCTGCTGGGGGAGGGGGTGCTGCTGGGGAAGGGGGTGCTGCTGCTGGGGGGGGGGTGCTGCTGAGGGAGGGGGTGCTGATGAGCTCGTCAAAGAGCTGGGGGCGCCTGGCGATGGGCGGGGGCGGGGCAAGGAGCTGGGCGCACCTGGCGATGCGGCACGTGGTGGGGGCGAGGTGGGGAGTGATGGGAGAGAGGTGGGGGGTGATGGGAGAGAGGAGGGGGATGATGGGAGACAGTTGCGCACTGGGGGCGAGGTTGGGGGCACTGAGGGTGAGATGTCCGGTCTGAGAGGGGAGGAGGGCGGGAATGCTGTTGGAGGGGCGGACGGGGCAGTCGCGGTGGAGAGGGGTGTGGCGGGAAGGATGAGGGCAGAGGAGGGTGGGGAGGGAAGGGGTGGTGGAGGTGAAGAGGCAGTCAATGCAGGTGAAGGGGCGGTCAATGCAGGTGAAGGGGCGGTCAATGCAGGTGAAGGGGCGGTCAATGCAGGTGAAGGGGCGGTCAATGCAGGTGAAGGGGCGGTCAATGCAGGTGAAGGGGCGGTCAATGCAGGTCAAGGGGCGGTCAATGCATGTGAAGGGGCGGTCAATGCAGGTCAAGGGGCGGTCAATGCAGGTCAAGGGGCGGTCAATGCAGGTCAAGGGGCGGTCAATGCAGGTCAAGGGGCGGTCAATGCAGGTCAAGGGGCGGTCAATGCAGGTCAAGGGGCGGTCAATGCAGGTGAAGGGGCGGTCAATGCAGGTGAAGGGGCGGTCAATGCAGGTCAAGGGGCGGTCAATGCAGGTGAAGGGGCGGTCAATGCAGGTGAAGGGGCGGTCAATGCAGGTCAAGGGGCGGTCAATGCAGGTGAAGGGGTGAATGGAGCGGAAGAGTTGAACCTTTCAGGCCGGAATGTGAGTGTTGGATGGGATATGCGTGAGGAGGGGTTGAGTGAGGGGCCAGGAACTGTATGTGTGAGGGACGATGGAGTTATTGTGTTCGAGGGGGGAGATTTGAGTATGGGGGAGGGAGGCACTTCTGAGGGTGAAGGGGATGTGACTCTGAGGGAGGGGGATGTACCTATGGGGGAAGGGGATGTGACTCTGAGGGGAGGGGATTCGAGCAGTAAGGAGGGGAAGGAAGGAGATACGAAAGGGACGGAAGGAGAGATGAATGGGAATGAGAGGGAGACGGACGGGATCGGGGGAGAGACGGGTGGGAAGAAGGAAGAGACGAGTGGGAATGAGGGAGAGAAGAGTGGAGAGGAGACAGAGAAGAGTGGGGAGGAGGGAGAGAAAAATGCGGAGGAGGGAGAGAAGAGTGGGAAAGAGGGAGAGACTAGTGGGAAGGAGGGAGAAAAGGCTGGGGAGGAGGGAGAGAACAGTGGGAAAAAGGGAGAGACGAGTGTGAATGAGGGAGAGACGAGTGTGAATGAGGGGGTCGAGGCCTTGGGGAAAAACGATTTGACTGCAAAGGAAGGAGAAAATGTAGGATGCAAGATAGGAGACAAGCAAGTGGAAAGCGAACAAGACAAGGAAGAGTGCATGAGCGCCCAGGCAGGTGAGGTGCAAGTGGTTGCACTGGCAGGTCGTGAGGACTAGCCAGGTGCATGGGGGCGTGATTTTGGTGACATGGCAGTCAAACAGGGTCAAGAACCAGTCATTGGTGGTGAAAGCGGAGAGGGTGCAAGGGCTGATTGTGAGGATGCAAGGGCTAATTGTGAGGGTGCAAGGGCTAATTGTGAGGGTGCAAGGGCTAATTGTGAGGGTGCAAGGGCTAATTGTGGGGGTCATGTCACGTTGCAAGGGTTTAGGAGGCCATACAAGATGGGCAGAGAAGGGTGGATGGAGGTGGAGGAAAGGGGGCAGGGGATGAAAGAGAAGCAAGTGCAGGGCAAGCAGATCACAGTGAGGCAGACGGGTGAGAGGAAAATGAAACAGGCATCAAGTGGTGGTCAGGACCTTGGACATCGGACTGAAGTGGACCAATGGTACGAAAAAAAATAAAATTACCTCCCTCCCATCATTGCCCGGATAGTATATACCGTACATGCCTATACGGTATGCGTCTTACGGTATATTGCTTGAAAAAAGTTACGACTACAACCTTAAACAGGACTTAGTCAGGGATCGGCTTAGGGCTAGTAGAGTTGTATTGCAACGGAAGTGTTGAACATATATGTTGCTTATTGTGTAGGCTGTAGTGGGGTAGCCCATATGGGGTACAACCCAGATTAGGGTTTCCTACTTGTACCCATCATGCTCCTAGTTCATTCATTCCTGCCTAGACTTCTGACATGGTTTCAGAGCAGTAGGTCCGTAGGACCGTCTTTTTTTTTTTCGGGCCCACCTACCGCTGCGGTTACTGAGCTGCCCCACGTGTTGCCTGCGCTGCGCCGCCCGCGCGCGCCTTGCCGTGCCTGCGCTGCGCTGCCCGCGCGCGTCTTGCCTTGCCTGCGCTGCGCTGCCCGCGCGCGCCTTGCCTTGCCTGCACCTTGCCTTGCCTTGCCTGCGCCGCGCCTTGCCTTGCCTGCGCCTTGCCTTGCCTTGCCTGCGCTGCGCCGCCCGCGCGCACGCCCTGCCCTGCCCCGCGTTGCGCTGCCCCGCGCACGCCGTGCCCTGCCCCGCGTTGCGCTGCCCCGCGCACGCTCTGCTCTGCCTGGCGTCGCGCGCCCCTGCAGCCCGTCGCGTCTCCCGTCTGCCCTGCCTCTGCCCGTCGCGTCGCCCGTACGGGCTGTCCCAGCCCGTCGCGTCGCCCGTCCGCCCTGCCTGCCTGTCGCGTCGCCCGTACGGGCTGTCCCAGCCCGTCGCGTCGCCCGTCCGCCCTGCCTGCCTGTCGCGTCGCCCGTACGGGCTGTCCCAGCCCGTCGCGTCGCCCGTACGGGCTGCCTGCCCGTCGCGTCGCCCGTCCGCCTTGCAGCCCGCGCGTCGCGCCTCTGCTGCCCCGCGCGTCGCGCCCTACGGCAGCCCGCGCGCCGCGCTCTGCAGCCCCGCGCGTCGCGCTCTGCTGCAGCCCGCGCGTCGCGCCCTGCTGCCCTGCACGAAGCGCGCCCTGCTGCTCGCGCCGCCCAGGCCGAGCCGAGCCGCCCTACCCGACCCGATCCGCCCTCCTGCTCGTGCTACTACTGCTGCTACTGGAGGTGCTGCTAGGAGTGCTGGAGGTGCTGCAGCCTAGCCTCACCGGGCCGCTCTACTGCTCTTACTGCTGTTGCTGCTGCTCGTGCTGCTGTCTTCCCTCCGTACCGCCCTCCTCCTCGCACGCCTCCTTGCTTACCCGCTATGACTTCCCTTCGTAGTAGCGGTGGGAGTGGTGGCGGCGGCGGTGGCGGCAGTGGGAGTGGTGGCGGCGACCATAGTTGCAGTCGCGGTGGAGCTGTTCAGTGCGGAGTTTCTGGCGGTGGCGAGATCCAGCTGCAGCGGCGTCCGAGCGAGACCCTTCCACCCCAGCAGCTTCATGCGTGGTACGCTCAGCGTTGTGCGTCTCGGAGAGGTGGCGGCGGCCGTAGTAGCAGTCGTGGTGGAGCTGGTCAGTGCGGAGTCTCTGGCGGTGGCCAGATGCAGCTGCAGTGGCGCCCGCGCGAGACCCTTACGCCCCGGCAGCTGCATGAGTAGTTTGCTCAGAGTTGGGGGTGTAGGACTACTGCTCGCTGCCCGTACGTTATTCGCACAGGTGATCGAGCTGGTCAGACTTGCGGGACAGTTAGTCACACAGAGTCCCGCTGCTTCTCCCGTCTGAGCGACGCTTGGCGAGCACGGTTTGGCGACGAGACTGAGCTACCCCTCTGGCTAGAGCTGCTTCAGGACGGAGTAGATATATTTGCCTTAGACTATGACACTATCCTTACTGCCATGTATGTTTTGACTGGTACTTCTGAGGGTGACTGTTACCTGTGTGTGCCCCCTGACCCTGGTATAGCCACTGCTGCTCTAGGTGCTAGTGAGTTTGCTCTCTCTGGTACTGCACCTGCTGAGGCCTTGCACACCTTTACACTTGACTCTGGTGCTTCCCGCTGTTTCTTTCGCAAAAGTACCACGGTCACACCCCTCCCTGCACCTGTCCCTGTCTCACTGGCTGACCCCTCTGGGGGCCCAGTGCTTGCACGGTCTACCACTGTGCTTCCGTGTCCGGCGGTCCCGTCTGGTGAGCTGTCTGGTCTCCACATCCCCTCGTTCTCTACGAACCTGGTGAGCAACGCCGTCCTTCAGGATCATTGGGTTGACACCTTTACTCCTGGAGGACAGCGTGTGGCGATCTGTACGTGCTCTAGGACTGGCCGCCACCTGGCCACGTTCACACGTGCGCCAGGGTCCAGTCTGTACACCCTCACCACTGTGTCGCGCTACACCCCTGTGTCTCCTCAGCTGTACGCGTCCGCTCAGGTAGCTACCCAGTGTGAGTGTCGCCGCCTGTCGCACGACACTCTCCTGTGGCACCACCGCCTTGGTCACCCCTCTCTACCCCGCCTTCGTGGCATGCACTCTCGCCTACTGGTCTCTGGCCTTCCCAGGTCTCTGCCCGCCCTCCCAGTCTCGCGCCGTCGCCTACTTGTCTCTGACCTTCCCAGGTCTGGCCTATTGACTGCAGGTCACAATGAGTGTAAATGACTGAAATAATTGGGGCTTGTTCCTACGCCTCGTATCAAGAGAACCTCATACCGTATGCGCTCAGACAGTGACATATATATCTTATCTCGTACACGGGCAAAAATGCTTGGGTTGTCTTGTATTTGGGACGGTTTAGGGTGTCTTATAAGTCTTATAAATGGACAAAGAACCGTTTAGAAGATACCCCCTCGCTATACGATTGCCCCTAACCTCTACACTGGCTTAATGCGTACACACAAATAGGTGTCTCATAATGAGGCTAGCTTGTTTATAAGAGACACCCGGATAATAGACAACCCATGTCTACTATTCAACACTGTCTACTATCCGGGCGATGACGGTATCAGGCTCACATTGAAAATTCTCCTAAACCCAAAATCATTTGCTAGTTTTACCATGCAAGTTTGATATGAGGTTGGTTGCCTAATATGAGGCGTAGGAGGGCCTATTTTTCAAGGGTAAAACACACTGATTACACTTACCAGCGGCCAGCTTTGGGGGTTCGCCCTAATTTTTACAGCCTGTTTTGTCAGTTACACTTTTCGGAAAAGTGTAGACTTACAGAATAGGCTGGTTTTACAAGGGTGCCTTGACTTCTAGCCTTGCCAGACAGGGTGTGAAAAAAAGTGCACTGAACCAGGAATCTGATTTTTATCGCGCCTCCCAGACCTACTTCCCACATTTCCCATCCAATCTCCTCCCTCCAAGGTTCGGAGTCCAAGCCTCAATTCCCCCCAAACCGTTCGCCTCTCTCAGTTCATCAGCAACACCCCTATTCCCTTCGTCGCTTCCAGCCTCACTCCCTCAGTTTCCTTAGGCTCTCCGAACCCCATCCCCCCCTCTGCACGTCCCCCAGCCCCTGCCCACCCATTCCCCTCGAACCTCCCTTCCAGCCCCACTCCGACAAAACGGTTCTCGACTCGCTGCAAGCTAACAAAACGAATACCTCACAAGCTCAGAGGAAAATCAGAAAGGCAGATCCACCCTTACACAATAAGGGTGTTACTTCACCGTCCTCATTTTACTCTGATTTTGATAGGGTACAATTTTCTCCATCCTGATAGACAGGGTGACGTCAGCAAGGCACCCTGATTAGTAAGAGGGCACTACAACCAATTTTGGGCCCTGGTAGGAACACGCTCAGGGTCCTCGCTATCAGACCAAATCGGTCTGAAAATCAGACCGACTTTTTTCATTTCATCTGATTTTCTAGACAAACAAATTTTATTCATCTGAAGCATAAGACTGGTCGTTTTACTTCGTCTGGAAAAACAGACTCAGCGTTATATTTCGTTTGAGAAATCAGACAGTGCGTCCAATTTCGTCTGACACCAAGTACCGAGAAGCCCCCCTCCTCCCGCCCCTTCCATCCTCAACCCTCTCCCCCTCCCTACCATACCCCCACCTTTGCCCCCCACCCCCCCTCCCCCTCTTCCCTTCTCCCCCGCCACACCCCAATCACCTCGCTTCTCACTAGAGCCTCCCAACCCAACCCAAGTTACTCGTAATTCATGAAGTCCCTAACGCGTCGCACAAATCCAGCCCCAACTCCCCCAGACCCACTTGCCCCTCGCAGCCCCAATACCCCCCTTGTGAGAGTACAACGACTTATGATGGCTTTGCTAGCTTGCCTGGACTTCATTATGTTATTACTAGCGTAGGTTTATTTTGTCTTGCATATTTATGCTTGATTCCCTAGGTTAAGTGCATTCCTATATGTTATTATAGTTATAGCACCGAACCAGGTTACGTGTACCGAAGTCACGCCTTTTCGGTTCCCACCGAATTGCTTTCTACCGAGTTCGGGAAGGTTCTGTTCGGGAAGTTTTGCAACCCTCAGAACATTCACGTAACACCTGGGTTACCTGCCTTGTGTCGAGACTATATATAGCCTCGTGTTGTACTGAGGTGGATCATTCAATTCAAACCCATTTTTTTTAGCTCGATCCTCGATCCTCACACCCCTACACCTCTCGCAACCCAACCCAACTCCCTCA